TGTGTGTGTGTGTGTGTGTACATGCACACATACACCTGTGGGCCTGCCTGAGTCCATCTCCCAGGTGCCGGGATTATAAGCCTCTCTACCTTACCTTTCTTTCTTTGTTTTCTTCCTCTTCCGTCTCCCTGCAGTCCCTCCTTTTATGGCCATGGTCAGTCTGCACCCTTCCAGATGCCCCTGGCTAGTACCTTCTTCTTCTCCACGACAAACTTTTACTCCACCACACCCAAGAGCAGTCACGTCCTCTTTTAAATTTTTTTCATTCAAGTGTGAAGTGTCAAATCACTTTCTGGGAAACTTGTCTGAATTGACAATCACACCGGTAGTGAATATACATATATTCCATTCAATACTGACACTTAAAAATTTTTGTAGGTGGTGATTCGGGTCTGAGATAGACCATTTGCCTAACACTCATCAAGTTCTAGGTTTGATCTCTAGCATCAAAAAGGTGATAGATAAATAGATAGATAGATAGATAGATAGATAGATAGATAGATAAATTAATTGTGAAAAATTATGTTGTAAATGTCATTATTTTGACAGCTAAAAAGTTTGAACAACTGTTGGCCAAATAGTCATTTGTTAACTGGTATATTACTATCACTAACCTTAACACTGGTATATTTTATTTGTAAATTATGTGCTAATATCTCTGCTTATTTAAGCCACTGGAATATCCATTCTTTTTGTTTGTTGGTTTGTTTTTAGTAAAACTGGAAATGCTTACATCAGAGAAATATTTCGACATACCAGTGGTAATGTTGGATTTTATTCTTCAGTTCTCACAGAAATAATAGAACCTTTTGGAATGGAAGTAATAAATGACAGCCCTTGTTTAGATAGTAATCTTAGCATTTCAATTATTGGACCCAACATGGTCAAACTATCCCTTGAACCACGAAGTAAGTATAAAAATATAATCTATCTCTTCTCATTTCAAATAATTAATGATTATCTTAATTATTTGTTATCTTTTAAGAAGATTTCACGTTTCTTCATAACATAATAGTTTTAATTTATGTGTATGTGTGTATATATGTATGTGTGTGTATGTAAGGGTGTTTGTGTGTGTGTGTGTGTGTGTGTGTGTGTGTGGTGCTGTGCTGGAGTAACCCTAAGTCCTTGTATATTCAAGGCAAGTTCTCCACAGTACTATCCTTCATCTAAAATTCTAGTCCAAGTGACAGCCAACCAAAGTTTATAGGTACTTAGGTTGCAAAATCAATTGTTTATAATATAATAAAATATACCTACAACTTATTAATATATATTCAATAGTAGTGTTTATTATTTATTACAGTGAGACTTATTTTGTCTTAAATGGTGCTCAGAAAAAGAGAAAATAGGATTTTTGTGTCAATCAAAAATACATTTTAATGAAACACTTTAAAACTTTTTTTTAAAGAGGCCAGTAATCATGATACCTTTAATCCTATCATGTAGGAGGCAAAGGCACAGGCAGGCAGATCTTTATGAGTTCCAGGCAAATCTAGTATAGATATCAAAGTTCTATGCTAGCCAAGGATATATAGTGAGACTTTGTGTAAATTGTTTTCAAAGAATATGACAATTTTGCTCCCTATAAAAAATTAATTTGAACTGTGCAGTGGTGACACACACTTTTACTCACAGCACTTGGGAGGCAGAAGCAGGCAGATCTCTGAGTTTGAGGCCAGTCTGATCTACAGAGTGAGTTCCAGGACAGCCAAGGCTACACAAAGAAACCCCATCTTGAAAAAAAAAGCAAAACAAAACAAAAAAGAATTTGAATTTCTGTCATAAAGAATAGTTTTATTTCTTTTTTAAATTATTTTAAATTTTTATTATTAGTTACATTTTATTAACTCTGTATCCCAGCTATATCCCCCTTCCTCATTCCCTCCCAATCCCACCCTCCCTCCCTCATCTCCTCCCTGCCCCTTTCCAAGTTCACGGATTGGGGAGGACTTCCTCCCCTTTCATCTGACCCTGTTTTATCAAGTATCTTCAGGACTGGCTGCAAAGTCCTTCTCTGTGGCCTAGCAGGACCACTCTTCCCTTGGGAGGTGGGGAGGTTAAAGAGCCTGCCATTGAGTTCCTGTCAGAAATAGTCCTTGTTCCCCTTACTATAGGAAACCAATTGGTTACTGAGCTACCACGGGCTACATCCAAGCAGAGGTTCTAGGTTATATCCAGACATGGTTCTTGGTGGAGTGTCAGTCTCAGAAAAGACCCCTGTGCCCAGATATATTTGGACCTTGTGGAGCTCCTATCCTTCCACATCATACAAACTCCCCCTTCTTTCATATGATTCCCTGCACTCTGCCGAAGGTTTGGTTATGAGTCTTAGCATCTGCTTTGATAAACTGCTAAGTAGAGTCTTTCAGAGGCCCTCTGCAGTAGGCTCCTGTCCTGTTACTTGTTTTCTCCTACTTCCAATGTACATCCTATTTGTCTTTCTAAGTGAGGATTGATCATCTTACCCCATGTCTTCTTTCTTGTTTATCTTCTTTAGGTGTATAGATTTCATTATGTTTAGATCTATAAGATATGATAAACAGAATATTTCTGTTTCTAATCATTATCTGATAGATATACAGCAGAAGTTAATCAGCTTTGGGGTAGATAGGTGGTTCAGTGATTAAAAGTATATATTGCTTTTGTGGAGGACCCAAGTTCATTCTTAGCACCAACCTCAGGCACTCAATAGAGCCTGAAGCTCCAAACCCAGGGGATTCGACGCCTCTGCTCTCTGAGGGCACCTATATTGACATACATAAACACACACAACTGCACATAATTCAGTTTTTAATTTTGCGAAGGATTTAGGTTTTACTCTGAGTAACCAAGAAGCCATTAGAAGGTTAGAAAACAACCTGATCTGACTTCCTTTTAAACAAGAACACTTCATCTTTTGTGAGTTGGCAGATGATCTAAACAGGCCGTAGGGGAAAGCAGAGAAACCAGCTGAAGGCAAGTCATCAGGTGGGAAACTGTGTTAACCTTTAGGTTTCCATTATTTATCCACTTGCTAAGCCTGCCCCTGCCAAGCATACGCAAGGCCCTGGGTACACTCTCCAGAACACAAAGAGAGAAGCGAAAAGGGAGTAAGAACGAAGACAGCATTATCTGAATGCCAACAAGCGGTTCACTCACTTGGGACTCTGAGACAGGACAATCATGAACTTGAGGTTATTCTCAGCTACATACCAAGAACCTGTTCTGTTTTTTCTTCTTTATTGAAAAAAAAAACCATATATTTTGACCATTTCACTGCCCCAGTTCTTTCCAGATCCTCCCCACACTATGTTCTCCCAAATTTATACATCTTCCTCCCTCCTTCTTTCCCTCCCTCACTTTTTCTTTAAAACTCACAATAAACACACAATGCTCTTCTCCTCCCAACCCTCCCCTGAAACCAAGATGTATAAACAAAAGACCAATAAGACAGTAAAAAAAAAAAAAAAAAAAAAAATGCCCAAACAAAGCAAAATAAGGTTAAAAAAAAAAAAAAAGTCTACAAAACACCACTGAATTTGTTTTATTTTAGTGAATTATGCCTGGCATACACTGCCTGAGCAGGCATGTGCGTGTGCGTGTGCGTGTGTGTAGTTGCTCACTCTCTGCACATTGTCCTTCTGTGAGTATCTATGTTACCATCTCTCTTGCAAGAACTCTCTCTGATGAGGGCTGAGGGAGGCATTGACACGTGGTCATTAAAGAATGTCGTTTGAAGCAGTTCTATTTCTATGTTCCTTTAGCAGAATAATCGTGGGCCCATTTCCTGTCTGGTTTCAGGCGCTTCCCCACTTTAGCAGTGTCAGGCACGGGTTCCAGCTCATAGAGCAGGCGTTAAGTTCAATGAGAAAGTGGTCGATTACTTCCAGTGCCAGTGTTGTACCAGTAGATCTTGCGGACAGAAGACTGCTGCAGATCACAGGCTTTGTAGCTGGGTTGATAACTAATTTCTCCTCTGGTACCATGCATGCCGAGTACCTTCTAGTACCATGAGTACTAATCAGTAGGCATGAAGCTTCTGGTTACGTACCAACTTGACTTTTCTGTGTTCAGTGAGATATATTAACTGTTCTCTTCGTCAAAGGGCTTTCCATCAGTTTGTGAAGAGCAATCAGTATCCTTGAAAATAGCCTGTGTGGCTTGAGGCTTTCCGGGGGCCCCTTTAACCAAAAATGCAACAAGATGTAACCCATTCCTGGCATTGGAAGTTTTACATGGTGGCATGAGGTATCTAGTTGGAATATTGTCTTCCTTATTTTTTTGGTGACTCTATTTAGATTCCTTTTATTTAAGAATACATTTTGGGAACAGTAGTAAATTTCCATATGTTTTTAAGTGACATTTGATGTTAATTTTTCCTCCCATGCTTCCTCCTTTCACTCTTCTCTTGCATCCTCACTCCTAGTTAATCCTCCTATTCCAGTTTCCTCTTTGTTTCTTCATAACAATATATTCTATACATTTGGAACATGTATCTCCATCTTGTAGTTAATTTGACTAATGGTTTGTCGATCTATTTTCTCTAAGTTTTTCAAACTTTTTATTTCATGATTTTTATCTTGTTTTTATTGTTGTTTCTTTCTGTTCATTGATTTCATTGAAGCAAACACACCCACCAGGAAATAATCAAACTTAGCACTGAAATATATAAACTAGAAACATAGAAAGCAATATAAAGAATCAACAAAACCAAGAGCTGCTTCTTTGAGAAAATCAACAAGATAGGCAAACCTTTAGTCAACTAACTAAAAGACAGAGAGACAGTATCCAAATCAACAAAATAAAAAATAAAAAAGGGGACATAACAATAAACACTGAGGAAATCCAAAGAATTATTAGACCACTGTGGGGGGGGGGGAAGCCCTGTACTCCACAAAATTGGAAAATCTAAATGAAATGTATTATTTTCTTGATAGATAACATTTAACAAGGTCAAATCAAGACCAGATAAACAATATCAATAAAATTATATCCCCTAATGATACCTAACAATACCATAGAAATAGAAGCAGTCATTAAAAATCTCCCAACCACAAAAAGATATGGGTCAGATAGTTTTAGCACAGGATTTTACCAGTATTTCAAAGAAGAGCCAATACCAATTCTTTTCAAATTATTCCACAAAATAGAAACAGAAAGTACATTGCCAAAGTCATTTTAGGAGGCCACAGTCACCTGGATACCTAAAGCACACAAAGACTCAACCAAGAAAAAGAATTTCAAACCAATTTCCCTCATGAACATTGATGCAAACATATTCAATAAAATACTCCAAAACTCCTGGGGAGCACATACCCATAATCCCAGCACTAGAGGAGGCAGAGGCAGATGGATCTCTGTGAATTTGAGGGCAACCTGGTCTACAAAGTGAGTCCAAGACAGCCAAGTTTACACAGAGAAACTCTCTCTCTCAAAAAAAAAAAGTACTCACAAACCAAATCCAAACAAATCCAAGAACATATCAAAAACATCATCGAAGATGCAGGGATGGTACCACCTATGAAAATCCATTAATGTAATCTAACCAATAAACAAACTGAAAGAAAAAAAATCCACATGATTATCTCCATAGATACTGAAAAAGCCTTTGACAAAATCCAAAACTCCTCATGTTAAGAGTCTTGGAGAGATCAGGGATACAAGGCACATACCTAAACACAATAAAGGCAATATGCAGCAAGCAAATTGCCAACATCAAATTAAATTGAGAGAAACTTAAAGAAATTCCAAAACATCAGGGACAAGACAAAGATGTCCACTCTCTTCATATCTATTCAATAAAGTCCTTGAAGTTCTAGCTAGAGCAATAAGACAACTAAAGGCGATCAAGGGAATACAAATTCGAAATGAAAAAGTCAAAGTATTACTATTTGCAGATGATACAATAGTACATGTGATCCACGAA